CTTTGCTGGTGATGTCGAGGAAGGGACGGAAGCCTCAGAACGTAGGCCCCCGTACCCCGGCCCCAGGAGAAGCCGGAAGTACAGGTGCTGGCCCCGCTGCAGCTGAGATGGCAGTGATTTCTGGCCTTGTTATCTCAAGGGCGTTGTGCGTGCGCGGTGGGGAGGGGTGATGGTTAGTGGGTCCGCGCGTGCCACCCCTACTCTGGGATCCAGGGCGGGCAAAGCATGGTGGCTCCCGGACGCTGAGCCCTCCTTGAGGCCCAGCCGCCGGAGGAGAGCGAGCCAGCTCCATGCCCTTGTGCCTCCCGGCCCCCTGCACCTACACCTGTCGTTTTAGCTCCCTTTCCTCTGATTGGTTAACCACAAGCTAGTTGGCCACAGGCCCCACCCTGACCGCTGGAGACAAAATGTTCAGGACACTGGGCAGGGGCTGGAGCTGAGGGTGGCAGGAAGCTGGGTATGGCCTCTGTGTTCAGACGGACAGTGGTCCCGGAGTGCCTCGAGGGTAGACCGCTCCCCGTTCTTCAAGAGGGCTTGCTCAGGGCCCCGGCTCCCCAAGATGACTCTTCCTCACTACTGGGAGCCCCGAAACCAGCATTCCCAGCGGCAGGAAGATGGATGAGCTGGCCTCCACTTCCGGCTCTCCTCCCCCGCTCCGGCTGGAACTTGCGTCAGTCGCGTAAGTAGCTGTGACTCAGCACCCAGCGGGTCGGAGGGAGGGGGAGGCTGCCGCCTCCCAGGAACCTTCCCGGCTCTGGATCTGAACACGCCGTGGTGGCGCAGGACACGGCCGGCAGCCCTGGGTTCCTGTGTGTTTGTGTCTCTGCTTACGGATCTCATAAACAAGGGCTCCTCTCCTTCCTGTTCTCCTTTATTGTATTTTTTGTGGGGGAGGGGGCACCATACTGGGCATAGGATTCTTAGGACTTTAAATGACACAGACAGCATCATTTACAGAAATGCAGTAGATACTCTCTTTGCTCCAGACTGTCAGAGGCCCGTGGGTTGTATTTAACCCTCAGATGTTTGGTTCACTGTGTCTGACTCTTCGGGCCCGAGACTGACCAGCGCCACCGTACTGCGCACTGTGGCTGCTTCCCTTGTTTCCTGCCTGATCGCGCCTCACACTGGAAGGTGCAGTGACCAGTCTGCCCCTGCCCCTCTCTTTTCGGATGAGCACCCTGAGGCCCGTTCCAGAAAAGTGCAGGCCCCCCGTTCTCAGAACCTGGGCTGAGCAGAAATTAAAGCCGCTGTGTTCTGATGCGCTGTGCGGTGACCTTTCCTCCACCCTTGGGTCCCTGCCCAGGCAGAGGAGTTTTCCTAGGCATGAGGGGGTGGGGAAAAAAACCTCCAAATAGAACGTGGACACGGAAGTGGACTGGAGCAGCCCTGAGGCCCCCAAAGCCTCTTCAGGTTGGCACCGCCAGGGCTGATGACCCCACTCCTCTGGGGCTGGTTCTCCCTCCTGGGCAGCCCACTGAGCCCCTGGCCACTGATGGGCTTGCCCGGGGCCGCTCGGTTGCGGTGGAAGGACCTGGAAGCTTCAGCAAACTGGGGCTTTCCCAAGCCACCTTCCTCCAGATCCAGGAGGCCTCTGGGCTGGGTGCCAGGGAGAGCACACCGCTTCCAGCCGCCTCGGATCACCTGGCTGCGTGCAACTTGGGGACAGAACCCGCGGCTGGTTTCAGGTAAGCAAGTTGCACCCTGCCTGACTGACTTGGAGAGGGAAGCTTGGTTCTGTCGGGAGGTCTGAGACCTCAACAGATCCTTTTATCTGGTGGGCTTAGGAGGGCAAAAGCTTTGGATCCTAAGGTAGCTCCCCCCGTCTCCTTTCAGAGTGCTGCAGCAGTGTGTTGCTGATGATCTCTTGTCTCCCTTTCCAGGGCACTGAGAGTGTTTCAGAGCTCCAGAGTCGGGAGCCCTCACTTGGGTTCACACTCCCGAGCTCCCTCGGCAACAGTTGCCTGTCCGCCTTGCGCGTCCCGTGCTCTGCACTCAGAGCTGACGCTGACGCTTCCCAGGGAACCGGGGAGCTGGGGATTAGTCACTCGTGACCCGATGACCTAAGTGTGTCCTGAAGGACCAGAGTGGGGTGGAGTGTGAGGGGAGCTTACCCAAAAGCCAGGCTAGACTGGGGCACGTTTCTGAGGACGGGGCAGCCCCGCTGAGACCTGAGGGAGGACTTGAGACCACCAGGCTTACTGTGCAGGGTAGGGGAGGGTGGTTCAGGGCTGGGAGTTACGGAATAGTAGATGCAGAAGATTCCAGAAAGAGGGAGCGGCATGTGCAGAGAGGCCTTCTGAGGTGGGGAGAGACGTGGGTCACCGAAGGACTCCTGTGATGCCTTTGGAAAGGGGGTGGAGAGTGGCAGCTGGAAGTTACTAAGGAAGAAGAGTTTGGCTGCAGTAGAAAGCAGCAAAGCTGAGAATTGCCAAATGCAGATCTTCAACTCCCTCCTTTTATATTTTATTCATATCCTGTAGTCATGATTCATGCTCAGTCTTGACCTTAAAGCCTCAGCGATGCCCTGATTCACACCCCGACCCCACTGACCTCACCTCTGCTGTTGACCGCAGGTGCCCATACTTAGAGCCCTTCCCCACAGGCAGCGCCAACCCCCGCCTGGCCCAGACTTGCCAGTCTGTGAGTGAGGCCTTGCAGAGCCGCACAGGGTGCAGAGGCGTCCGGCACAGATGCTGCAGGGCCCTTCATCCCCAGCGTCTTCCTCACTGCCGCAGCCGCGCCGTGGGGACCACCCAGGCAGGGCTTGAGGGGGAGCGAAAGCAGTATCAGAGCGCCAGGCGTGCTCCCATCTCCCCCCAGTTTAACCCGCTGTGCAGTCAGCAACACCCGCCACAGCCTCGGGTTCCCCCTGCCCGCAGTCTTGCTCATAATCAAGGGCGAGGGCAGAGGGAAACAGTCAGCAGGCTGCAAAGCAGGCAGCAGTGCGCAGAGGGGCAGGAGCACAGACGCTGGAATCAGACCTGGGTTGGACCCAGCTCACTAGTCACATGATTGTGGACAGGCTTTCGAACCACATTGAGGATCAGTTTCTCCTGCAGAAACAGGAGTAATCCCCAGTTCGCCAGACTGGTGAGAACTGAAGAGCACAACTTGGTGTTCGCATTTTATTTCCTTCTCTTCCCTAGAGCAGCACGTGATGCTATTTCCAGGAGGCAGAAAAAGCAATGCTTTTATCTGGAGTCCTGAAGAATTGGTAGGGACCCTGAGAGGTAAAGACTTTATGTCTCTTCCTTCTCTCGGTTATGGTATCAGAGGAAATACAGACATGCTTTCTTAGCTTCACCCATAGGAGATGAAGTCTGGTTTGAACACTGTTTGCACATCTTATTTTCAGGCTGAACTTGAAAACAACACAAAACAAAACTCCATTCTTGTATTAAAGAATTGTCTACTTAATACAGATTTAGGACACCAGTTCTGTATGTCACAGTAGAGAATAAGGTTGGTGGTTCATGGGGTCATACTTGAATGTCCTGACCGCTCATCTGTGATGGGGAAGGGGGAGCCCTTGATCTTCCTCACTCGGGTTCATGGGCGAGTCAGCCTGGCCCAGATGAAGCCCACCTGTGAGTAGTGGTTGGAGCCTCCCAGGCAGAAAGGGTGCTTGTCTCCTGCTGCAGTGAGATAACATCAGAAAATGCTTTGCAGACTGTGAAATAGTGTACAAAACAGGGCAAAACTAATGTGAATGTTCACACAGTTCAATGATAACTTACACTATTTTATTTCATTATATATAATAATATGTAGGAACTGGTTATGGAATTGAATAAATTAGCCTAGAATTCATGACTTTTGTATTGCGATTGTCTGTGTAACTTATCAGCTTTGACTTTCATGTTCTTTGAGCATCACTTTGTAACTCTTCTCTGTGCCTTTCGAATGGACCGTTATGATGTGTCCCATCACAAGTATAACTGCAATAAGACAGCTTTTGCTCAGGCAAAGGCTGGGTCTTCCGACCGCATCTGCCTCCTTTCTTCAGTGAGAACCCTCTTCTTCTGGAAGCTGGTTTCACATGGTGGCTTAGATTTTTCCATCTTTGTATCTAGCACCATTTGAAATCAGTGTTTTAGGAGTAAGAATTGCAGCGCAGCCAAAGGCCAACCCCAGAGGAGCTGCTGCCCCGGGACCAGCTCCCCTCCTCCCGCCACCTGAGCTGGTTCAAGAAAAGAAGAACTTGAGAAGCAAATTCACTCTTGAGCGTATTGGGTTGTGGAAGGGGGACAGTGCAGGGGTGGGGCGGTGTTCAGTGGAAACTCTGGGGCAGCCACCAGCAGGAACCTGTTGGTGGGGCCTTTGAGCGTGTGATCGGGCAGCTCCAGGTTGGGTACCTGATCGCAGTCGGCAGCGGGAGGGCCGTGGACCGGAAGGACCCTCTCATCGCACCAGCATTGCCCACCTGCTCCTACAGGCCGCGGGACAGCCAGCTGCAGTGGCCGAGTAGGTGGGATCAGACTTGCCACCTGCACCGTCACCGTGTGGACCCCACTGAGCGCCGCCGGACCCATCTCTTACACAGGCTGACCGATTTCTCCTGGTGTTCAGAGTCTGTTTTTGTCTAGCACCATTTGAAATCGGTTATGATGTAGGGGGAAAAGCAGCGGCCTCGAGGTCTCATGCCAAGTCTGGTCGGCAGCAGCCTGTGGCTTCCCGGAAGATGGATGGGCAGAGAGGGGGAGGGAGGTTACAGCTTTTCCTGCTGACGTCCTTAACTACATCTGCAACACTTTATGCACAGGTAATAGATCATTTAGCGGATTTTTAGAAACAAATCACTGTAGTGTACCTAATGTCCTCAGTTTGCTAAAATGTGGTAGTGCTGTAAACTCCAAATTGGTTGCCATTATCTTTCTGTTCACGCATCCTGACCTTAATAAATGTTTTACTGTATTCAATTTATCATGTGTTTGTTTTTCATCGATGATTTTCCATTCATAATTATATGATGATAAGTGGGGTCCTGAAAAATTAATTTGTTATATGCCAATATTACCTACTTCATAAAGAGTTCAAAGTCGGTTACAGCAAACAGATATTAAAAATGTAGTACGTTAAGACAAGAAAGAAATTCAATGAGCCAAGACATAAAATGAGAAAAAAGATGATAGAGAAGCGTTGCAGACCCGAGTTGAAGGGGAAACTGACCTCAGTCCCAAACAGGCTGCAGCCCCGGAGCCTCTGCCGTCAGCGTTCCCGCAGAAACCTTCGCTCAACTGAGCCTGGACTCACGTGGCCCCTAGAGGTGCGCTGATGAATTCAGCTACGTTAGGAGAGATGCAGGCGTTGTCTACTTTGGTCCTTAGTTTCCATCAACCCTTGAAGACAGAGTGAACCAGTTCTGTAAAGGTGCTCAGAGATGAGCCAGATTTGACTTCACAGGGGGTTTCTCTGGGGGAGTCTTCAGGTTGGAGGGCTGTGTCTCCTTGATTGACCTTTTTGAGCAGAAAGTGCAAGGCCAGCCCTGACCTTCCTGCAGGACTTTGATTTCACACCTGTTCTCCATACATGGTGGCACCTCAACCACCTGGGAAGCCTTTCGAGGTCCAGTTCCTGCCAGTCTCCCCCCAGCTGGCTGCCCTGCCCGGTGGGGTGGGGTGAGGTGGGTGAAGCCTCTGTTGGGAAAACTTCCCTGGGAATAGGGGGCACCTCCCACTGTAGCTGCAGGGCTGTTTGGGGCTGTTGACTGGAGGATTCAGGTTCTGGTTCCCAGGATGTGGCGGGAGCAGTTAATGACCCTGGATTGCTTTATTCACCTCTGCTGAGGCAGCTACAACAGACCCATGGGCTTAAAAGCTTCGGGTCAATTGTAACTAACTGGGCAGCTTCTGATTCACCTGCCGTGTCCCTGGCTTCAGGCTATGTATTGCCAATAAAGCAAGTAACCCATGGATTCTGCCAGCAGGTTGCTATGATTCCAGTCTCTAAATGAGAAAGTGCCAGAAGATCTCGGTTTAACATGAAAGCAGAAAAACAATGACTTGGGACATCTTTTCCGTGAAAGTAGTTTCTTGAGTTCTCATGAATGCTTGATTTTAAACACGTGCTCATGGTTGTGTCACGAGAAGCAAAACGAACGCCCCTTGGTTGTGACTGAAGGGCCACTCATGGAGGATTCTTTTCTTTATTCATCTGAAGGTTGACACTTTTTAGCTAAAATTAGCATCCCACGGTGGTCTGTGCTAAGATGGCTGAGCAGTGTTTAACTTGGACACCTTGAGTCTGCTTTTGTGACCCTGCTTTCCACTTGGAAAATGCTTTGCCAGGCATGGGTCTGCCTACGTTACCACATGTTTATGGCCGTCTGGGTTGGCTCAGTCAGTAAAGAATCTGCCTGCAATGCAGGAGACCTGGGCTTGATCCCTGGGTTGGGAAGATCCCCTGGAGAAGGAAAGGGGCAACCCACTTCAGTATTCTTGCCTGGGAAGTCGCCTGGACAGAGGAGCCTGGTGGGATACAGCCCACAGGGCTGCAAAGAGTCAGTCACGACTTGCGACGACACCACCACGTGTTTATCATGCTCTACGGGTTTTCTCGAACCAGCAAGTGAAGAATCAGGGTGGGTAACTTTCTCAGTGTGATGCAGGCTTGGATTGATTTGGTCACCTCCTGCTGGTGTGTATACCAGAGGGAAGGAAAATAGTTTATTGACCACAGACCCCTATATTATGCTTCCCCCTATATTATGCTTTCCCCATATGTAAGCCACAACGGACTGAGATTAGCCATTTTTAAGGGTAATTCTTTAGAAGGTAGTAGGAAAGAGCTAGTTAATTAAAATAGAATTGAAAATGACTTCTAGGTAACCCAGCAGTGACTAAAACCTCTAAATGAGTTTGAACCAAGCAAAGAACTTGTCAAATGCCCTCACAGTCCACAGGAGGGCAGCAGTGTGGGGATTTTAAAGTCTGCCCACTACATTCCAAGGTAAGGTTTTCTAGATGAGCTTGGAAATGATGAAAGCAATGCCAATTGGGAAATACAAACAACATCCCCTCCCCACCCCACAAATTTGTGTGAAGATCAAATGGTAATTCACTCCAGTATTCTTGCCTGGAAAATTCCATAGAGAAAAGTCTAGTAGGGTATACAGTCCATGGACTCACAGAGTCAGATAGGAGTGAACGACTAATACTTTTCAGTTTTGTATCATTTCTGGAAGATGCAGACTTTTCATTATCACCATAAAAGCTCTCCCAGTATATCTTACAACAATTAAAAGAAAATACAGCAATTCCGTGGAGGACCACTGGTTAAAAATCTGCCCACCAGTGCAGGGTTTGATCCCTGGTCTGGTAAGAGTCCACACATCACAAGGCTACTCAGCTAATTTGCCGCAATTGCTATGACCATGTGATGAACTAATGATGCCCTTGCACCATAGAGCACACGCCCTGCAACGAAAGAAGCCTGCACACCACAGCCAGAGAGTAGGCCCTGCTTTCTGCAACTAGAGAGCCCTGTGCAGCAAGAAGACCCAGCCCGGCCCAAAACAGTAATACAGTAGTCTAAGGTTCGGTTCAGTTCAGGAGCTCAGTCGTGTCCGACTCTTTGTGACCCCATGGACCGCAGGACGCCAGGCCTCCCTGTCCATCACCAACTCCTGGAGTTTACTCAAACTGATGTCCATGGAGTCGGTGATGCCATCCAGCCATCTCATCCTGTCGTCCCCTTCTCCTCCCGCCTTCAATCTTCCCCAGCATCAGGGCCTTTTCCAATGAGTCAGCTCTTCGCATCAGGTGGCCAAAGTATTGGAGTTTCAGCTTCAACATCAGTCCTTCCAATGAACATTCAGGGCTGATTTCCTTTAGGATGGACTTGTTGGATCTCAGGTTACAGGTAAATAAAATTTGGCAAAATGTTTTCTTTCTTTGTAGCCAACCTAATTCTCAGTGTTGCCATTACAAAGATTGCTTCCTTTCTTTTTAACCAGACAGCTTCCTTTGATTAGCTGGGTGACAAGATCTTAATTCAAGTCTTAGTCATCTTCTGACTTAACAGGCTGAATTACAAAAACACAATTTTCTCTTGCAAATATAAGCACTTACCTTTGTCGTTACAAGTTTGTGCAAGTTCACATGCAGACGTGGACTCTGAGGCTGAAGAACCACTAACACAGAGGTTCTCCCTTAGCTGTATATTAGAATCACTTGAGAAGCTTTACAGATGTCTAATGCCCAGGCACACCCCAGATCAACAGTGTGACAGGTATCTGGGGGAGGGGGTGGGGGCGCCCAGGCATTAGTAAAAATCCCTAGGGGATTCCAGAGTGCAGGCGTGGTTCAGAAACATGCTATGCTTTCATGGTTGGGACCTGGGTTTTTACTCAGCAACACCCATGCATAAAAGTGATGCGGAAGCTACGTCTTCTACCACACACATAGACGAAGGGGTCCCCCAAGGGGGGTCCCCCAAAGGCAAGAAAAAAGAAAGCCGAAAACCAAGCAAGAAACCGGAAAGGCCGCAAAACAAAGGCCCCGGGAACTGGGCCTGAGTGATGCCCAGGATCAGACAGGACCAGAGGCCTTCGGGCAACAGTGAACCTGGAATACAGCAGAGAGCACAGGACGGACTGTCTGGCTGGGTCGAGAGCAGGTTATCGGAAGTGCTGCAGGTGGAGAAAAGCTGGGCATTAACTGTAGAAAGTTTTCAAGTATCACGAAATGGACTTTATGCTGTGGGTAACGAGGTGGGACTGAACACCGTGAGCGGGGGGAGCACGAGACAGGCTGGGAGGGGAGAAGCCTGGACAGACTTCAGGCTCTGAGATTAGAGGTTAGAAGGGGTGACTGTGGGAGGGGAATGCTTCCAGAAGGTGGACCCAATTAGAGGCGCACTCTCACTTGAGATAAAACACACTGGAAATAAATGCATCATCACAAATGAAACTTCTCCATAATGACATTTTATTTTTAAAATAGACTCAAAGGTTCACTTCTCAGAAAACAAACAATACAGACATGAGACGTCTCATTCCACTGGAGATTCACTCTTGCAGTTTTAAGTTTAAATTCAAATACACTTTTCCTTCTCATTCAGACAGACATTTCTAGAGAAAAAATGGTTTCTCCATATATTTAAGTAATTGACAAGTTATTTGCAGACAGAACATAATTTATATGTACACACATATTCCAATCTTACATATAACTATGTTACCCTGGAAAAACTAAATTTGAAGTGGAAACTATTGTGAAAGTCTATTTTGGTAAGCACAATAAACTCTGGTTGAAAACATTTCCTTGAGGTTTTAAGAAATATGTAGTACAACCACCCCCTTGCTTCTGAGAAAGTGTTAGATTCTTGAAGAGTGTGTGATAAAAGGGTACAGCAAAACTTCAGCTCTGGATCTGTCTCAGAATTCCTGAATTTATTCTGTTCAAACTTGTCTTCCAAGTGCCTTACCCAAGATTACAAAGGGAAGGACCACTTACAGAGGGCCTTACAAACATGTCCTTGGGGAGAAAAACAGTATTTACTCCTGTTCAGCCTTGAGTCCTGATTCATACCTTTATAAGGCAACTCTTCTTTGGCTCAGTTTGTGCTACTAACCACGAAGTGTGAGGACCTTCCTGATGGCCCAGTGGTTGGGTTTCCGTGCTCCACCACAGGGGCCACAGGTCTGATCTCAGCTTGGATAGCTCTGCATGTCAAGGTATGGCCAAAAAATGAAAGAAAAAATAATTTTTTTTAAAGTGTAAAAAAAACCTGTAAAAATGTGAGTTAGAGCAGAGTCCCTCCTCTGTGGCCGCTGGTGTGAGGACAAAGAGGGCTGGGCTCTGTCCAACCTGAGTGAGCAGACCCACCTGAGCTGTTCCGTCTCTCCTTCCCTCTGCATGACCACAGCTAATCCAGAGCTGAGTTTCCTTTTCTGAAATACAGGGTTCATTTTTACTCTGCCCTTTACAGATGAGGTGAGGAGCCCACAAAGACTTAAGATTCTGATACAACCTGAGGTTATCTGATGAATTTATTCCCTTCAAAACTGCTTACATTCTGATGACATGTGTAAAGTAAGACATATCTTTATCCAAGTGGTGAGAGAAAACGCCCTAGAGCCAGACTTTAGAGTGGACTCTGATTCTCTTAGAGAGTAGAATTCTTCAGCAGAAACAGACACAACATTGTAAAAAAACAACTATAGTACAATAATAATAATAAAGTGGAATTCTTCTTAAGGAAACTATAAGGCCACAGCGTTCCCTTTGTCCTGAGCTGGCGTTGTTGCCATGGGTGCTAAGAGTCCTCTAACTTGGTACAGAAGGCTGAAACTGATGCTGAATTCTTGGTTTCTCAGACTGGCTTATTATAAATAAAAGGGGTGAAGAACAAATGCCAGACAAAAACTTAATAGCATTGCTAAGTTACCACGAGGTTACAAATTTTTAAAAATAGCATTTTAATCTATCAAATGAGTATTTTCCAGTAAGATCCTTAGATAAGAAACTCAAAGAATGAACCTTAAGAATTGGTAATCACCTCTGAACAAAAAAAGATTTCAAAATCACTTTCTTTGCAAATGTAATGTCATTTTGCAATATATTTCTCTGAGTTTGGAGATCTTATAGAAAAAAAAAAAAAAATTTCCCTACCTTAACACTACTGGGAATACCATGTTGACCTGCCGCATAAATCAAGTGTTATTTAAGGAAAAACAGACAAGATGGTCAAAACTAAATTCATACATGTTTCAAAGAAGCATTAAAGAATAGTGACTATACTTCAGTCACATTAAAATGTTCTAATGTTCCTATGGCTATCACTTAGCAGTTTTATTTCCGACAGTTTAAAAAAGCAGCAAATTAATTTTTATACTTTTCTTCCTTCAGTATTGAGACAAAATTGAGAGCATTGCCTAAGTTTACAGTGTACAGCATGATTCGATAATGTCAATAACTACAAAAAACTTTCTTCCTCCATGTGATTAGAACTTTTTAAGATCCACTCTCTTAGCATCTTGCCAATATAAACACAGTATGAGTAACTCACAGTAGCCACTGTGCTGTAATTACATCCCACTACTTTCTCACCCTATGGCTGAAGGTTTGTATTTTCTGACCACCTTTACTCAATCCCACCCCTGCCACCACCCCCCGCCCCCACCACCCACTGCTGACATCGACAAATCTCATTTTCTTTTCCTGAAAGCTTGTTTTTTTCAATTCCACATATAAGTGAGATCAGACAGTACACATGTCTTTCTTTATATGACTTATTACCCAGCAAAATGCCTTCAAGGTTCATCTGTATTGTCGCAAATGGCAAGATTTCCTTCATTTTCATGGCTGAATGATACATGCGTTTCTGGAAACGGTTCAGTTCATCTATTCTGTTGAAGTGACTGCTTTATCCTGATAAGTGCTGTATGTGGCGCTACATTCTGCTTTCCTATAAGGAAATAGAACAGTACGTACCGTGACATTCTGGTTTCCTACGAAGCAAGGTAAGAAAACAGCATCAGAGATGAACACAGTAAGTACATAAATTGATTCCAGAAGCCCATTTAGAATAGGGACAATTAAAAGAAAAAGCCTAAAAACAAAAAACTATATACTAGTAAGAGTCAATGAACTAGGAAATAAATGATTTTTAAAGTTATTCCAGTGTTCAACCAGGCTCACTCTACAAACTCTTTTTTCTATTTCTGTATTGTAGTTTGGATTTCCTCCAAGACAAGAAATAGAGCAGTCGAATATACTTAGTAAATATCCCCCTATCTTAATTTACGGCCAATGGGAGAGACTAGAGAGAAACACATTTTCCTAATATTCCAATTTAAAATCCAGCCCTGAGCCCATTATACAGAGTGAAGTAAGCCAGAAAGAAAAACACCAATACAGTATGCTAATGCATATCTATGGAATTTAGAAAGATTATAATGATAACCCTATATGCAACACAGAAAAAGAGGCACAGATGTATAGAACAGACTTTTGGACTCTATGGGAGAAGGCAAGGGTGGGATGATCTGAGAGAACAGCATCAAAACATGTATATTATCAAGTGTGAAACAGATCGCCAGTCCAGGTTGGATGCATGAGACAAGTGCTTGGGGCTGGTGCACTGGGATGACCCAGAGGGATGGGATGGGGAAGGAGGTGGGAGGGGGGTCCAGGATGGGGAACACATGTAAATCCATGGCTGATTCATGTCAATGTATGGCAAAACCCACTACAATACTGTAAAGTAATTAGCCTCCAACTAATAAAAATAATTGGGAAAAAACAATAAAAGAAAGTCTTTCTGCATGATGTGACATTGAACGTTCAGAGTAGGTCTCTAAGGATAAATGGGCAATTTAATAGTGTGATTCGGGAAACTTAGGCAAAAGAAGTGGAGAAAGGGATGAGGAATGAGGCTAAAAACCAAGTAAAGGGCCAGGTTTTGAAAGGCCTTAGGTGGCACATGTATTAATTAAAATTATGTTCTGCTCTAAAGATCTGAAAAATCATACTCTAGCAGCTTAAGGAACTATGGAGTTAGTCTTTCTCACATACCTGACAATCTGGGGTATCTATTTGATAAATACTTATATGATGCCTGTTTTCTAAGCCTTTTACAAATAATAACTCATCAGATGCTTATAACGGTCCTTTGTAGTGTGTATTATTTTTATCCTTATTGTACAGATGGAGAAACTAAGGCATGGAATAGTTAAGGAACTTAATAGTGCACAAGTAAGTAATAAAGTCATGTTTGAGTCCAAGAAAAACAAAACAAAATAAAATCCAGCCCTGAGATGAAACTTTTACAAAGGTAATGATTCAGAGTGTTCACGTTCAGTAATGCTTCATTTATGCCTCACTGTCAAGGAAATCACATGTTCTGGTTAGACAGTCTCCTAAGTAACTAAAACTCACACCACACAGTTTTTGGTTCTTTTCTTTTTTTTTTTTTTTTGATAACAAGGAACATCTTTCTAAACCCTGTTATTCAAATCCAGCAGTTTCCAAAGAAATATAATGCAAATTACACAGGGAATTTTGAATTTTCTAGAAGTCACATTAAAAAAGGGAAAAGAAGATTAATTTTCATATAGTTCACATAACCCAGTATCCATGGGTTGTACCTTTTTCCCCATGAAGTCTTTGACTCTGTGTGTACTGTGCACTCAAGCTCAGTTACGGAGGATGAGCCGGCTTTGACATTCGCAGCCGCCGCTCACGACACTGACTCTGGAGCTGGAAAACGCAGCTCCACTCCTGCTCAGGAAACTGACTGCAAGAGACAGACTGCAGCCGAACGCGGGCCCGTCGGCCACGTACAGTGGGCCTGCCCAGCAAACCCTCGGGGCGCCCCCCTCATGGGAGAGCTAACCGGGTTAATGCTGGAGACTGTATTATTCCCTTGGTGGGAGAGGCTTCACTGTGAACCAGCGCTGTCATAGCACGGAACTTGTTAATGGCCGTGTCCTCAGGACTATTGTGGAGAGCGAGTCAACAGTTAGGCTCTCAAGGAATCCTCCAACACCGCTGTATTCTTCTATTTGCTGAAGGGAAAACACTCTTTTCCCCTCTAGTAGAACACTTATTTTCTTAAATAGAATCTTAAACAGAAATCCAATATATGAGAAGGATAAATAAGCATTTATATAAAGTTAAAGAAAGAGCTCATTGGATATAACAAGCTATTTAAAGATAATTAAAATGTGAAAGTGAGTTACTAATTACAGTTATAAGTTATATTACCTTCAGCATTCACTAAGGTAACTTCTAGTGTTTACAGACAATTTGAAGCTCACAGCCTGTCTGAAAACCACCTTCCTGGTTGGTTGTAGCCTCAAAGGACTACTCAGAGAACTCAGCAGATACATAGGGCAGGATAGTTGGTATGTTTCTGTCTTCCCCTCTGCCCCTGTGATCAAAGACATCGCTCTGCTTTTACTAAAAAACCGCCTGTCTTACTGGTCTTTGTGGCATCTGCTCTCAAGTTCATGACTGTCACCTAAGGTAGCGCCTTGCACGTGAGTGTGGAAATCTATCTCCTCTCTTCCTAACTATGCAGAGACATTCAGGCAGAAAAAGAACTTCCAATTCATTTCATTCAGAGACAGAGATGGAGGGGATTAAATGGCTAAAGGGAATGCATTTCATATAAAATTTGAGGATTTTTGTTGGTGCTGGTTTATTTTTTATATGCTAAAAATATACTGACTGAGGGAAACAGTTAAATGCCTTTACAGAACTAATATTTACAAGCTGAAACTGAAATTCTTTACCAAAATTACATAAAATGTAGTTTAGTTTCTGTCAAAAAAAACCAAAAGTGAACTTCAAGTGGACTGACTATCTGATTATTTCCCATTAGACCAAAAAGAGTTCCCCCAGATTTGGATTCACAGCTGCTAGAAGGTAGAGCTGAGCTGTTTCTTTAGGTTTATATAAATGCTTGTTTATCCTTCTCATATATTGCACTTCTATTTAAAATTCTATTTAAGAAAGTAAGTGTTCCACTACTACTAGAAAAAAAAAAGGCTATTTATTCACTTCAAATAAATATAGTGATCTTTGAGGATTCATTGATAGGCCTAAGTATTGAATTGCTCTCCACAATAGTCCTGAAGAAATGGCTATATCAAATACTCGTCACAATCTGACCTAAGGTCAAGGGGTCATTACTCTGTTGGTGCCTATGTCAAAGAAAAAGACTGTCAGTGCATATTATTTTACATTAAAACAGGGAAGGAGAAAATATAAATATCAATAATCTTACAAAGGGGAACCAGAATTCAAATGTCCTCCTTGATGTCTACTGTCCACTTAGCTCAGCTCAGGATATCGATATCTAAATGTTCATCAAATATTTTATAGAAGAAAGGACATCTCTGAAAAGAAACGCAACAGAAAGCAGATACCTTTTAATGATAAAAGCAAACGTTTCTCTCATCTCTTCTCAGAGAGAAATAAAATTTATTGTCTGTGGCTCTCACCAGTTAGGTATGTGCTGAACAGAGGAAGGGAAAAGTGTTGAATAAAATAGTGAGGTTGCACCAAAAGGAAGCAAGAGTGGCATAAAAATGGGATAAAATCAATGAGGGAGGAGAAGGGAAGTAAAGCTGACAATTAGGTCCATAAACTATGTCTCTCCTGATTCTCATTAGGAAGTTGAACCAAGAATTTGGTGCAAGAAGCAACTTTACCCTTGAAGTCTTATAGATCATACAGCAGATAAACAGACTCTAAATTTGCATATAATCTGTTTACTTCTGAAACCACCTAGTCTCAAGTAAACTCGTTTTCTCAGAATGAGAGTGTATGAGACATGGTCCTGGTCTGCAGCACCGTAGCTTTTGAGGCAATACATGGGGCCTGTGTTAATCCCATGTAATACTGTCCCAGAAACTGATTTTATGACATCCTCCATTTGATACACCTTTTGCATCAAGGATAGTTTCTTCCTGTGGCACAACTATTTTTACCTGAGGAAAGACCTCTCTAAAGCATTATATGACCTCCCATTTTTCTAGGATGGATCTAAATTTTGTAAATATGCTCTCTCAACTAATTACAAAATCTTTGTTATTTACTAGTTCTTGCTTAAAAATTTTAAAGCCTTTGTTGAATGGTTAAGAATTTGAGAACCAGGTAGAAAAATGTTCAAGTTAATTTGACCATTCAAGTTTTGGACCATGTCGTTACACTCACCACAACCTGAACTGGATTTACCATTTACAGTATATCCAAAAAAGCTTCAGTAAGATGCATTTAAGCAGACAACTTAAAAATTACAACATTTCTCAATCAATCTTTATTAAGGTAATATTAAAGTAGTTTACAATTGCACACGTAATAAATATCCTTAATGGAAAAAAAGAAAAAAGGTATTTAGTTACTATTACTAAAACACATAAATTACTTCAATAATTCTACTAAACTTAGCAAACTCTCACTTATCCCCTGATGATTTAACTCGAGCAGAGAAAAATGATACATTTATTTAAAAAAAAAAAATTCACCACAAATAATTGAAAACATTCATGTATACAAAAGACATCTGGTGTTTGGAACCACACAGTCAGGACATGCAAACAGGACTCGAGCAGGAGCAAAGCAGAGAGCGAAGGGCTGTGGCTCCAAGTCTGGAAAATGTGGCAGAAGAGCTGGTTAGCAAAGGAAGCTGTGCGGGAAAGGGAAGGGGTGTGCAGATGGAGCCTCTCAGCTCACCTGCGACCCTATTCTGCTCTCAGTTGAGAGCTAAGAAACAGAAAACTACAGCAGAATGCTTTAACCTTGTGGCCATTTTTCATAATTTAATGATCTTAAAAAAAATACACACACACTACTTAGGGGATTTCCCCGGTGGTTAAGGCCCTGTTCTTTCAATGCATGGAGCTTGAGTCTGATCCTTGGTCGAGGAACTAAGATCCCCCCAGCAAACAAACTACTTATTTTCATGCTTTGGTATAAATCCTGTAGGAGGGTAATTGTGTTCCCAAATTATCGAAAATACGAGGTCATATCAAATCCATTTTGTATCAAGTTTTAACAGCAAATGTGTGTTTCTGATTTGTTTTGAGGTTTGTAGGATCTCAGCTCCCCAGCCAGGGACTGCACTCCTGCCCAAGCTAGTGAAAGCGTGAGTTCTAACCACTGGACTACCAGGCAATTCCCATTAATAGCAATTTTTGCACCTGGTATCCTGCTTCCAGAGTTATCCCTACAAATAGAGAAGGAACTGCATATAGTTTACAGTCTTGTAAGGGAATTTCCAAAGCAATGAAAGCAATTTGGGGGGGTGGGGGGAGAATGGACATTAAATAGTGCAAAAAATATATCAATGATAAAAATAATTACCTTTTTAAAAGAAAAGCAAACTAAAGCTAGGTATCATTTCGCATTCTTTTAAAAAGGCACGCACAAAAATGAGGAGTCTTTAAACAATCCATTTGATTGTCTTGAACAGGTGAACCATTTCCCAGTAAGCTTGATGGTGCTTCCCCAAAGCTGAAGAGCATGGGCACATCATTAACAGTCTACACCCTGCTTTCTCTAAGTGTCCTCCAGGCCCGGCAGCAGCCTCACTGGGGAACTCTTTAGAAATGGGATCTCAGAACTCTAATGCTACTGGTACTTTAAGCTGGGGATGTGATGCTCAGATACTGGTTTAGCTTTAAAAGACTCAGTCACTGGTAGACAAGAGTTTGGTTAATATTTGTTAGGAAACTGTATTTTTGTGTAACGATATTTTACAAAAAGACCAATAAGGAGCAGAAAGCTATTTTGTTCTGCTTTCTTTAGAGGTTACTTCTAGTTAACAAATTTTAGACTTGTCAAATATTTCACTGATGGTGTTTCCGTGTTACACCGCCTGTGAATATGTAGTTTTAAAAATACACTACTGATAGAGAAATCAAACGTGCATACTATATGTTCTATAAGAGCCAAGGTTCAAATGAAGGCAATGTGGATATTTTTAAAAGATGACCAAGAAATTAAAAAAAGAAATTTCGCTCTTTATGAGTGAAGAATGTACTTTTATTACACAGTCCAAATGCAGTGATTAAAATAAAAGGAACATAAATATCATAAACCCATTAATACCAGTCATTTTAAATTATTAGTCTGATTTACAAAGCAATAGCGAAAAAAATCACTAAAAATCAGAAACATCAAAGCACCTAATCTTGGTCTATGCGCCAGTTTTATTCTAAGTCTTTCATTAGATTTTAAATTACTTCATTAAAATTTAAGATGATGTTTAAAAGCTCTATTCTCTTTAGAAATTATATATTTGTACTTTTTTGCAATTTTAACTCTCTCCCTTATTTCATTTTTATAGATAAAAAGACAAAGTTCATGAAGTTCCTTATAAATCTTACCCTCTCAGCAACTTTTAGTTTAACCCCATCAGTTTTACTTCGACCTAGTAAATTAAGAGAACATAAGAGGGAAATCAAATAATGTTGCTTTAAATTTTCCAGTTTAACTGTATAACAAATCTAAAAGAAAAAAAAAATTTTGGTATCTGAAGGAGACATCTATGTAGCTTCTTACAACTACCTAGCTAAATTATACAGACAACTGAAAACTTTCACCGTCAAAATTGCAGTGACTACAGCTATCAGAGTCTCCACAGGGAATCATTTTATATGTAATCTTGGCCATTAGTACAATCTAGGAAGTTGGGTATGCCTAGGGTAGAGAAGACCCCAAAGCAGTCCATGATTTATTTCAGCACTTACACCTCAAATCCCACAGAAATTTTTCTTACATCATAATTAGTTGACACGACCTGCACAGATTACTCTTATAGCAGTGATATTCAAAGCAGCTGAAGACATTTTAGCAAAGAAATGCTAATTCACACAGCACACTCAAGCAGGCGCAATTTTTAAAAAGCACATAATACAGCGTACAAACAAAAAGTGCACAAAAGAATGTCAACAGTGAGAAGGAGCAATAAATTAAAAAAACATGCTGTACTTTACCCTTTCTTCCTTTGTCGGCAAAGACAGTAGTACAGGCAAAACAGTAATCCAATGCCAAGAGCAACTACAAGAAATCAAGAGACAAACGTCACATGACCAAGAAAAACCACTGCCAAGATTCAAAACCTAGCAGAAAAAAAGGAATGCCGATCAGAGGTTCCCTGGAGGCTCAGATGGTAAAGAATTCACCTGCAATGCAGGAGACTTGGGTTCCATCCCTGGGTTGGGAACATCCCCTGGAGAAGGGAATGGCAACCCACTCCAGTATTCTTGCCTGGAGAATCCCACAGACAGTGGAGCCTGGGGGGGCTGCAAAGAGTCAGACACGACTGAGTGACTAACACTTTCATTTTCACGCTTTCAGATACCCATGGCCAGAAAATGGTATCTAATTTAAGCACATATACGTTTCTATTCCATTTGGACTCTTCAGTGTCTTGTATCCTTTGAATTAAACAGTATACAGTAAGTCAGAGAAATTCCTGATTAGTTTAGAAAGTTACCCAAAGCATATTTGGGATGAAAACTCATATGATGAAAACTCACCTTTAAAACAACATATATTATTTAGAGTTTGTTAGTACGTGTACAAGCAGAATAAAAAGGAATACAGTAATACTAATACAAGGTAGTGTATTACGTAAAAAGTCAGGTTTTCCAGTTTTACTTAATTTCAAGCTATAAAGCTATAAATATTGAAAAACCTTAAAAAAAAAAAACCACACTTCTTGAGAGCAATGTCTTGATTTCACTAGTATCCAACTTTTTGACACTTACCTGCAGCAACAATAATGAGCACGATGTATCCTGCACCTAAGAAAAATGAAAACAGTTTGGGAGATAAGTATCTGGGATCTCCTAGGAGCAGCTGCATTTTAATTTTATCAGATCATCTGTAACTACAGAGAAAAAACTATCAATCTAGTTTTAGCAAAACTGCTCGTGCTTCCAGGTCATTTGAATCATAGAAGCCTTCTAATCAGATTCCACAGTTAGGACACACCTTTGTGACACTCTTAATAAGGAATCTCACTTTTCACTGCTGTTTGCTCTGGCTGCCATGTCAGGTTATTTAGTGAAGTTTAACCTCTAACTAGTTTAGAGGAAAACCATTTTTAAAATGTGAGTATCCAACTACGGTTGGTTTAGTTTGACATTCAGTTCTTTCATCACTTATGACTTTGTTAGACATTTAACGTCTATTTTTCCCTGAAGCCTGTGGAATAAATCATAAAGAGTGCTCTGAACCCATGAAGAGTCTTCACAAACAAGACTTCATTGTATCGCCACAGCTGCGACCCCACTTTCTCCCCAGATGAAGACGTGGCCCTAACTCCCGAGGGAGACTCACTGAAAGTAACGCAAATGAAGAATATAAAGGGAACACCTGGGCACGTGGATAACACTATGCACAGAAGCGCAAGCACGCGTTTCTGATCGTCCAGAGGGCTCTGGATGCACTACCACATCTCCATTCTGGGAAATGCTGGTTAGTAGTATCTCTGCCTCTAGACTGCCACTACTTTTATTACCTACAACATATAGCGGGTAACACAGCATGCAACGTCATGTACAGCTTTGTTTTTTTCTTTCATAAATATCATCGAATGTAAACATCCTGAGATGGCACTGGATTCGCTTGGCATAACGCCAGTCTGACCACAGTTTTCACAGGGAAAATATAATAAGCCTAAAGTGCATTTTATAAAAAGACTAACTAAACTAGTCTAGTGTAAAGAAAAGCAAGCCATTTTTCTTCACTTCCTTATCAGTAAATCTTTATATTTAACTGTCACCAACTGTACTTCCATCAGGTTTTAGCACACACGTGTGAACTGTGTGTGCCAACATGGAGTGTGCTACCCCGCCCTTGTTCAGAAAAACTAACCCAGCTAACAGTGCTGTAAGGCTTGTGTTCACAAGGTACCAACAGAAAGAGAATTCATCTACAAATAGCCATTACAAAGTAAAATTATTACCTGGAAAATCACTTAAATTTTATATATGTTAGACTGCATATAGCCATATTATTAATATTTTAAAAAGCAAACTTATTATTAGGTATCCTAAGCTGAGCAGCCTCCTAAAATCTATATTATCTACATGTGTCTAAAAGTACCACTTAAATGTGTCATGGGAGCTGCACCTTTAAAATTCCTTAAAACGTGCAATTTTACAACTACAAATTGAACAATTATCACCAATTTTTAACATGTTATTTCTTCTCTAATTATAGATAATGGTAATATTTCCACATAGAAAACTAGGGCCTTATGATACAAGGTTATATCAGTAACAAAATAATACCTAAACCCTGGGCATCGTTAGGGGGTGATGCATCAGTAGGACTGGGATATTCTGGAAAAAAGGAAAAAATGCAAGTTAAAAAAAAAAAGGAGACAAAACAATACAGCTTAAAGTCCTCTAAGTTCACAGGTTTTGATTTTTTTCACTTTGTATAAAAACCCTTATAATTTCATTCTCCTTATATAAACTACATTAATGTTTGTCATTAAAAGTAGTATCAAAATCTTATAAATTTATATTCAATACCAAAGCATTCTACTTCTTGTCCAGTAACATTTCCTAGGACAATATTCTGTGGTACAGCAAGTAAATTTGTCATTAGTGTGGTGTCAGAATAACCCTATGGATTCGATGTGATTATACTTAAGACTAAAATAGAAAAGCACACTTGTGGAGGCTAAACAATATTCTACTAAACAAGCAATGCATCACTGATATAATCAAAGAAGAATTTTTTTTTAAATATGTGGAGAAAATGAAAGCAAGAAAACAAATCCAAAATCTATGGGATGCAGCAAAAAGCAGTTCTAAGAGGGAAGTTTACAGCAACATAAGCCCACATCAGGAAAGAAGAAAAATCTCAAATAACCTAACCTTCCACCAAACCAATCAGAAAAAGCAGCACCAAAAAAGAGCAAAGTTAGTAGAAGGAAAGAAACCATGAAGATCAGAGAAGAAAGAAATGAAATAGAAATTTTTAAAAAATAAAAAAAGATCAATGAAAGTAACAGCTGGTCTTCTAAAAAGATGAATAAAATTGATGTATCTTTAGCCACACTCATCAAGAAAAAAGTTGGCCCAAATTAACAAAATCAGAATGAGAAAAGGTACAACCCACAAACACTGAAGAAACTTCAGAAGCTACATAGAACAATTTAAAGAAGGACATGAATAATTAAGTGTAGATGAAAAAAAAGCTCAGCCACTGAACCTGGATGTCCTGAAGTCATGGTTGGAGAAGTGGGCTTGGAATCTGGAATGGAAAATTAGATTCAATTCTCTAGCCTTATACATATAAAATTATGGATTTAAATTTGATATTTGATTTTTTAAAAAGACTCTCAAAATGAAAAATACACATACTCCCTAAATTTTGCAATTCTACTTCTGTAAAGTTAACCCAAACACATATTTACCCAAGTACAAAGAATGTATGCACAGGAATGTTCACTGTGCCTTTGTATATAGTGGAAATCCTATATTATACAGTGGAAATCCTAGAAGTTAACTAATAATAAACCATAAAAATAATGTGCTCAGAATAAACACATGGTTCTTTAAAAAAATACCATTCAGATAGTTTCCTATTGTGTAAGTTGTATCCTTCTCCAGTTAGTATTTTGCCTACAGTTTTTCATATGTGCATAATCAAATCTACTTGATCACCATTATATGTTGCTAATGATCTTTTTCATACTCTCTGATGACAGAAAATGATTGGTGGTCTCATGAGGAATTTTGATATTTTAAAATAATCCCCATAGTTTTATCTTCATTGTGCATCTGTCCTCAGAATTCTTATTTCAAACACTAAATTGTATCAGTGCTTTATAAATCCTTTATGAAACGCTTATGTCAACTCTTTAAAAGTCTGCCCAGACTGATACTCTTCCCACCCTTCCTCTGGTCTCCTGCTTCTGCCGCAACTAAATACAAGCCAGAGACAGCAGCCTTGAACTTAGGAAAACAATTCCTTCCAACATAGCATAATATTCATTCAAGTCTTAGGCAGAGGAGCTGATCAGGAGTCCCTGCTAGAATTCCTCCATTTCATTCCAATAAGCAAGGGCTTTTTCTGCCTTTTAGTTGTTATACCACTTACTTTCTGTTGCCAACTCCCCCTTCCCCCTCAAAAAAACAAAAACAAAACTCCAAAACAAACAGACAAAGCCCAGTAAAGAGAAAAACAATAATTGTTACGAGTGGGGAAGTGACGGAGGTGGTAGAAATACTAGTCTCATTCTAGAGACAATAGAAATCTCCCAGTTTATAAAAAAGAACCAAGCTGGTCAGCCTGGGAAATGAAACAGTCCTGGACCCAGAAGACACCCTGTACGGTGTCAAGAGATCACTTTTAAAATGAATAAATTATCCAGGTTGATGACAGAGAAAACATACATGCTAAAAAACAGAACTGCGGACCTTCCTCTACACTAATATTAATCTGAGTGTAATTGGAACAAGCTACCTTTTAAGAGCTTTCTAGATACCAGGGGCTATGCTAAGTGCTTTAAATGAATCCCATTTTAAATTTACTATCACTAAGTAAGGAAGCCAAAGAATTAAGGCTTTTGAACTGTGGTGTTGGAGAAGACTCTTGAGAGTCCCTTGGACTGCAAGGGGATCCAACCAGTCCATCCTAAAAGAAATCAGTCCTGAATATTCATTGGAAGGACTGATACTGAAGCTGTAACGCCAATACTCTGGCAACCTGATGCAAAGAACTGACTCATTGGAAAAGACCCTGATTCTGGGAAAGATTGAAGGCAGGAAGAGAAGGGGATGATGACAGAGGATGAGGTGGTTGGATGGCATCACCGACTCGATGGACATGAGTTTGAGTAAACTCCAGGAGCTGGTGATGGACAGGGAGGCCTGGCGTGCTGCGGTCCATGGGGTCGCAAAGAGTTGGATACGACTGAGCAACTGAACTGAACTGAACTGAAGTAAGGACGCTTTGAAATCATTTTACAGATAACTAAACGCTGAGCTGGAAGAAGTACAAGCTGGAATCAAGACTGCTGGGAGAAATATCAATAATCTCAGATATGCAGATGACACCACACTTATGGCAGAAAGTGAAGAGGAACTAAAAAGCCTCTTCATGAAAGTGAAAGAGGAGAGTGAAAAAGTTGGCTTAAAGCTCAACATTCAGAAAAAACTAAGATCATGGCATCTGGTCCCATCACTTCATGGGAAATAGATGGAGAAACAGTGGGAACAGTGTCAGACTTTATTTTTTTGGGTTCCAAAATCACTGCAGATGGTGACTGCACTCATGAAATTAAAAGACGCTTACTCCTTGGAATGAAAGTTATGACCAACCTAGATAGCATATTAAAAAGCAGAGGCATTACTTTGCCAACAAAGGTCCATCTGGTCAAGGCTATGGTTTTTCAAGTGGTCATGTATGGATGTGAGAGTTGGACGGTGAAGAAAGCTGAGCACCAAAAAATTTGATGCTTTTGAGCTGTGGTGTTGGAAAAGACTCTTGAGAGTCCCTTGGACTGCAAGGAGATCCAACCAGTCCATCCTAAAGGAAATCAGTCCTGGGTGTTCATTGGAAGGACTGATGCTGAAGCTGAAACTCCAGTACTTTGGCCACCTCATGCGAAGAGTTGACTCATTGGAAAAGACCCTGATGCTGGGAAGGATTGGGGGCAGGAGGAGAAGGGGACGACAGAGGATGAGATGGCTGGATGGCATCACCAATTTGATGGACATGAGTTTGAGTAAACTCCGGGAGTTGGTGATGGACAGGGAGGCCTGAAGTGCTGCAATTCATGGGTTCGCAAAGAGTCGGACACGACTGAGTGACTGATCTGAAACTGAAACATATTTAAAGCTTTTACTTAACTTGCTATCTGCTTATATCTGCAGACTGCAAATAATTTTAGAATCACTCAATCTAAGAACTAAAAAGGCTATTAATATTTCATTATTAAAATTGGTAAATGAATATAAATCATTGGAATTTAAAAGATTTTGAAAAAAAAATCACAAGAAATGTAAAGGATTTTGAAATATATAAGCAGGAAGTTACTAAACCTGAGACACTGGGAATTGGATGTTGGGTGCTGGGAGGAGTCGACACTGGAAAACAAAATAAAAAAAGAAATGCAGATAGGATCAAACATTTGGGAGTTACTACTGGCATTTTCACCAGGAATTTAAAAGATTTTTGAAAAAATATATGTAGGAAGTTACTAAACCTGAGACACTGGGAACTGGAGGTTGGGTACTGGGAATTGGAGGGTGGGTGCTGGGAGTAGTCAACACTAGAAAACAAAACAATGTAGACTGAATAAAAAACTTGGGCATAAGTACTATCTTTTCATTCACATGAATTATGCCTTTCATTCTTGACTTATTTAGGTAAAACTCCTTAGGCTTCAATTTACTCTGAAAGATGACTGCTATCCATTTTTACATTTAAGAATGCCTAGCAAGAGAAATTTATACATCTGTGCTATGTACATGAAATGCTAAGACCCTACAAAGACAGAAAATTGCTGTAGCAGATTTCTTGTGAATTTGAAGTCATACAACTATAGAAATGAATACAACAGTTAAATATGAAAACTATTTCTCTTCAATTATTCTTGCATCATTGATATTTAATGTAAAATAAATAAAGAACAAAAACAAAAGGAAGACAGTATTTTTACCTTTAATACACTTTGGTAGCTCAGGCTCCCAAGTACTGTTCACACCACAGACAACTGTACTGTCGCCATGAAGGTTAAAACCCTCACTGCATTTAAATACAACCGTCGCTTTGTAGTAATATTTTGGTCCAAATCCTGAGACTATCATTCCATGTTCAACGATTGGATATACACATCTGACCACTGAAAAGTCGAGAAATTCCAGAATTAATGGAAAGCCGCTTCCACATGGGACCAGAAAAACTAGTGCAAAGTAATTCCAGAGGGAAGAAACAGGAAAGAAATGAAAAGATACTAATTGGGGTAAAAAAAAAAAAAAAAGAAAAAAGAAACCTTTGTGCATCTGAATTCCAAGAGATCTGGAGAAATCTAGCAATTTTTTTTTTTTTTAAACCTAGAACAGACTGTCATAGTTCATTTGCTTTTCTACATTTTCTTTCCATTACTGACAAGTTTTGAGAACTGTCTGGCTACCAGATACAAACTCAGGGTAAGGTCAAAAGTAATTTTCTTCGGTTCGGGGATTGTTTTAAGATCATTCTGACACTAATTACATACCTTGCTTTTTTAGAAAGGAAGCAAAAGCTTTCCTGAGAAGGTAACAGTTTGAGCTCAAATTTAAGCTGAAAAGAAGCTCGCCATGCCAAGGTATGAAAAAGGTAAGTGTTCAGGTAGCTACAGAACACAGAAGCTGGGATGTTGAAGAAATAAAGGTCAGTGGAGTTAGGGCAGTGTTTTCCAAACGTTCTGGACTGTAACCAGAGATCACGAAACACATTTTATGCTGTCAACCAGTATATAAACCAACAGGCCTGGGACAATCTCAGAAGTAATACCCAGCCTTCACACCAGTGTGCTGTGGCATTTCCCATTCTACTCCACTCACAAAAAGTACTCATCCTGACTCTCTTAGTTGACTTTAGTATCCACTAATGGGTTTGGCAGAATTGGGGCGGGGGGGGGGGGATANGGGGGGGGAATAAAGAAAACACTTGCCTGAGTAGTGAGTTCAAGAGAACATCTTATGAGATTAAATCTGAATGACAGATAAGGGGCAGATAATATACAGCCTTTTTAACCAGAAGAGTGCACTTTCTCCCTTTCTTTGGGTCTGCATTTCCATCAGGTATCATTTCTCTTCAGCCAGAAGAACTTCCTTATCAATTCTTATAATCCAGGTTGTTAAAGTTGCTCCGTTGAGTCCAACTCTTTACAACCCCATGACTATACAGTCCATGGAACTCCCCAGGCCAGAGTACTAGAGTGAGTAGCCTTTCCCTCCTCCAGGGTAATCCAGGCTGACTAATGACAGATTCCTCACACAGCATTCTACATTCACTGTTTGTCTGTTTTTCTTTCAGCATATTAGCAGAAATCGTCTTGTTCCAACAGTTCTGTAAGAAAGCGGCTGTCACTCTCACCTTGGGGCAGGAGAAAACGGACTCAAGGTTTCCGGTCTGTCTCCCCTTCTCAGTGTCTGCTGCTGCTTTGGTTTCTGGTGGTTCTAACATGCTGTGCTCAGCTTAATTGGGGGTTTCTCCATAAATTTTTAAAATTTATTCTGTTACGGGCAGTGAATTTCCCAGACATGTGGGGTTGTTGTTTGGGATCAAATTTACATAATTTTTGGCCAGTATTTACTGAAATGATTTCCTGCATTGTTCTCTCTTCTGAAGCTCCAATTAGATGTATGTGCGACTGTTTGCTTTTTCTCCCAGAGGTTTCTGTCTCTATCTCTTGTTTTAATCTTTCTTTTCAAACCATGCTAGATTTCTACTGCCCTGTCTTCGGGTTCCCTGATTTTTTTCACTGTTGGGCCAATACGCTCCTACTTGCGCCTAATGATGTTCTTGTCAGCTGGGTTAGTAGATACAAAGTGCAGACAAAGTGAATCTCACCCTTAAGGCGTACAACTGTATCAGTTTTCATGAATCAAAACAATCATGTAATTACCAGCACAATAACAAAAATTCCATTATCTCCAAATACTTCATGCCACTTTGTATCAACCCTCCAGTTCTCAACCACCTTCCCCACCCAGCCAACCACTCATCTGTTTCCTGCCTGATGGTGTTGCTTTCACAGAATGTCCGAATGGAATCACATCCTCTGAGTATGGCTATTTTACTTAGCATAATTCATTGGAGATTCTTTTGTTGCATGATTCAGGAGCTCATTTCTTTCCGTTGTAGAGTATTATTCCATTGCATGGATACAGATTAGGCTGTTCATCCATTACCAGCTGAAGGACATGAGTTAATTCGTGTGGAATGATTATGACTAACGCTGCTTTGAATATTCTCATACAGGTTTCTATATAAACATACATCTTTTTACTTACATTGCTGAGGCATATGTTAAGTGTATATTTAACCTTATAAGGGATTGCCTGTCTTCCAAAATATTCATTATCACTCTGTATTCTTACCAGCAATGTATTAAGCATTCCTACTGCTGTATATTCTTGCCTATTAATCATACTGTTAGTCTTTGGTTTTGGGGTTTTTTGTTCAGCTATTCTAATAGCTGTTTACTGACATCTCATTGTAGTTTTAAATTCCATTCTGTAATTTACTATGAACTGAGCAACTTTCCATGTATTCTTGGATCCACACATCTTCTTTGGTGCAATAGGTCTATTCATGTTGCCCATTTAAAAAAACTGGGTTGTTCTCTGATTGTGTTTTGAGAGTTATTTATATATTGTAGATTCAAGTCCATTAGCAGATATATACTTTGCAAATGTTTCCTACCAGTTTATGACTCATTTTATTCCTTCTTTTAATAGTGTACTTGAAGTAGAAGTTTCAAATTTTAATAAGCCCAGTATATTAGCATTTCTTCTTTAAAGAATCATGGTTTTAGAGTTGTATTTAAAAAATCTTTAACTAAGGCACAAATATTTTCTATTGCTAAAGCAAAAATCTTTTGGTTTTAGATTTCACATTTAAGTTTTGGTTCACTGTGAGTAAATATTTGCAAATGGTGCTAACATAGTGTTGAGGGTTTTTTTTTTTCCCCCAAAGGTTGTATTTTTCTGTTCCATGCTCTGCGTGGCTGTCCTTTCACCAATACCACACTGTCTTGATTATAGTCCTCACAGCAGTGTTTATAAGAAGTCTTGACAGCAGGTAGAATGAGATGCCTTTTTTTTTTCCTTCCAAATTTCTACTGACATTTCTAGTTCTTTTATTTTTCTAAATAAATTTTACAATCTTTCTGTCAGGTTCTGCTGGGATTTCATGGGATTGTGCTGAATTTATAGATCAATCATAGAGGACTGACATCTTTATTTTATTGTATTTTCTAACCCATAATCACTGAATTTTCTCTATTTATTCAACTTTTGTTTGATTTCTTAGACTTATTTTTACCATTTAAATATTTTACATTGTTGTTAGATTTACACACAAGTATTTTGGGTTTTCAAGTTGGTGTAAATAGTACTTAAAAATTTTCAATTTCTACTGGTTTTTTACTAGTATATAGATGTACAGTTGATATCTGCATGCTGATCCTGCTAAAACTTCAGTCTTTCAGGTTTTCTACAAAAATAATCTTGCTGTAAGTGAATAAAGTCTATTTTATTTCTTGCTCTTCAATATGTATGGCTTGTTCTACTATCTAAGAACTCCAATACAAGGCTGAGTAGTGTTTTAACATAAGACACTTTTGTCTTGTTCCTATCTTAGATAAACATAACCACTCTTTTACTATTATAATATTAGCTGGGGAATTTTTATAGGTGCCTTTTGTCAGCTTCAGGCAGTTCCCTTATATTCCTCATTTGCTGAGCTTTATAAGGAAAAGATAATGAATTTTGTCATATGTACTTTTTTCTCTGCATCTATTAAGGTGGTCATTTTTTTTTTTCTTTCCTTCAGTTTCTTCATATGGTAAATTGCACTGATTTTTAAATTTGAATCATTCATGCATTCATAGAATAAATTTCACTTGATTATGATGCACTCTTGTTTTTTTTAAGAGGATTTGATTTACTAATATTTTGTTTAAAAGTTTTAGTTCTATGCCCACTTTGGATACTGTATAACACTTTTCTTGCAGTGTTTCTGTCTGGTTTTGGTATCAGAGCAACACTGTTCTCATGAAATAAGTACTCCCATCTCTTTAATTTTCTTGAAGACTTTGTATAGGGCTGCTACTACTTGTTCCTTAAATGTTTGGTATAATAATACCCTAGCAAGGACATGGGGCCTGCACTACACTTCATGAGGTTTTGGAAAAATATTTATTGAATACAGTTGATCTGCTATATTGTGTTAGTTTCAGGTGTATGGCATAGTGATTTTTTTGTTTGTTTTTTTTCCCCAGATTATATTCCATATATTATTATTACAGATTATTACAAGATATTGGATATAATTCCCTGTGGGTGCATGCTCAGTTGCTCAGTCGTGTCTGACTCTTTGTGACCCCATGGACTGGAGCCCACCGGTGTCCTTTCCCCAAGGGATTATTCCAGACAAGCAAACTGGAGAAGGCTGCCATTTCCTCCTTTGGGGATCCTGCCAACCCCCGTCTCCTGTGTCTCCAGCACTGGCGGATGGACTCTTTATCACTGCGCCACCAGCGAAACTCCAGGTAGTTCCCTGTACTATATGGCAAAACACTAGATGCTTATTTTAGGTGTAGTAGTTTGCATCTGTTAATCCTATGCTCCTAATTTGTTGTCCCTACCTAATCCCTTTGGTTAACTATAAATTTATCTACTTCATCTGAGTCTGTTTTTGTTTTGTACGTAGTATCATTTGTAATTTCTTTTTTATTCCACATTCAAGTGATATCATATAGTATTTGTCTGTCTGTGTCTGACTTAATTCACTAAGCACAATATTCTCTAAATCCATCCATGTTGCTAAATACTTGTTGCTTATTTATTTCAGGTATAGCAGCTTGTATCTGTCAATCATCCCATGCTTCTAAGTTGCTGCCCCCTTCCCTCTTCCCACTGGTAACTATAAGTCTGTCTTCTACATCTGAGTCTGTTTTTGTTTTATATGTAGAATCATTTGTATTATTTTTTTGATTCCACATTCAAGTAATATCATATAATAATTTTTCTGTCTCATTTATTTCACTAAGTATGATATTCTCTAAGTCCATCCATGTTGCTGAAATATAAGTATTTTATTCTTTTTAAAAAACCAAGTAATATACCAATATACACACACAAAAACAGAAAACATTTTAATCCAATCACCTGCTAATGGGCACTTGAGTTATTTCTGTCTTGGCTATTGTGTAAACCGTGATGCTATGAACACTGGGGTAAATGTACCTTTTTGGATTAGAGACTGTTTTTTTCACATGTATACCCAGGAGTAGGTCTGCAGATCATAGTTCTATTTTTAGGTTTTTAAGGAACCTCCAGACTGCTTTCTTTACTAATTGTACCACTTTACATTCCCACGAACAGTTTAGGAGGGTTCCCTTTTCTCCACATCCCCTATAACATTTATTATTTATAGACTTTTCGATAATAGCCACTCTGAAGAGTGTGTTTTTGACACTTTCACCTCACTATGTTTTTCATTTGCATTTCTTTAATAATTTATGATTTTGAGCATCTTTTCATGTACATGTAGGCCATATGTATGGCCTTTCTCTTTTGAAGAAATGCTGATTCAGGTATGCCCATTTTTTAATTATGTTCTTTGTTTTTTCAATATTGACTTACATGAGGTGTTTGTGAATTCTGGATATTAACCTCTTGTCATTTGCATCATTTGCAAATATTTTCTCTCATTCCATAGGTTGTCTTTTGGTTTTGTTGATGGTTTCCCATGCTATGTTAAAGCTTTTAAATTTGATTATGTGCCATTTATTTTTCCCTTTTTTTTTCTGCCTTGGCAAACTGACTTGAAGAAAATATTGCTATAATTCTGTCAGAGTGTTTTATGGTGTCATGTTTTACATTTAGGTTGTTACACCAATTGAGTTTGTTCTCTATGTGCAATTTATTTGTGTATATGGTTCTGTCTAACTTCACTGTATTACATGTAGCTGTCCAGCTTCTGAAGCACCACTTGTTGAAGAGACTGTCTTTTCCCCATTGTATGTTCTTGCCTTCTTTGTCGTAGGTTAATTGATCATAGGTGTATGGATTTATCTCTGGGCTCTCCATTCTGGTCATTGATCTATGTGTCTGTTTTTGTGCCAAGTATCACACTGATTTGATTAATGTAGCTTTGCAGTACAACCTGAAATTAAGGAAAGGATATACCTAGAGCTTTGTTCCTTTTTCTCAGGATTGCTTTGGCAATCGTGGGTCTTTTCCATATAAATTTTAGGATTATTTGTTCTAGTTCTATGAAAAATGTCATAGGTATTTTGAGAGCCATTGTATTAAATCTGTAGATTGCTTTGGGTAATATGGTCATTTCAGCAATATTAATTGTTCCAATCCAAGATCCAAGAGCACAGGATATTTCTCCATTTCTTTAAAAATTGTTCAGATACCTTTACTGATATTTTATAGTTTTCAGTATACAGGTCTTCCACTTCCTTGGTTAAGTCAATTTTAGGTGCTTTTTACTTATTTTGGATACAATTTTAAACAGAATTCTTTTTTTGACTTAGTCTGATATTTCATTATTTGGGTAAAGAAACACAACAGATTTCTCCATGTTCATCTTGTATCCTCCTACCTTGCTGAATTCATATATTAAGTTCATCCAGTAGCTTTTATGACCAACCTAGACAGCGTATGTAAAAGCAGAGACATTATTGCTGACAAAGGTCCATCTAGTCAAAGTTATGGTTTTTCCAGTAGTCATGTATGGATGTGAGAGCTGGACTATAAAGTAAGCTGAGCACCAAAGAATTGATGCTTTTGAACTGTGGTGTTGGAGAAGACTTGAGAGTCCCGTGGACTGCAAAGAGATCAAGCCAGTCAATCCTGAAGGAAATTAGTCCTGAATATTCATTGGAAGGACTGATGCTGAAGCTGAAATTCTATACTTCGGCCACCTGATGCAAAGAACTGATTCATTAGAAAAGACTCTGCTGCTGGGAAAGACTGAAGGCAGGAGGAGAAGGGGACAACAGAGGATAAGACAGTTGGAAGGCATCACCGACTTGATGGACATGAGCTTGAGCAAGCTCCAGGAGATAGTGATGGACAGGGAAGCCTGGCATGCTGTAGCCCATGGGATTACAAAGAGTTGGACATGACTGAGCAACTGAACTAGAGCTCTTATGAAGACTTTAGCATTCTCTATGTAGAGTATGATGTCATCTGTAAATAGTGACAGTTTTACTTATTCCTTCCTATTTTGGATAAATTTATTTCGTTTTCTTTTCTAACTGCTGTGGACTATAGGACTTCCAATACTATGCTGAATAGAAATGGTGAGAGTGGACATCCTTGTCTTGCTCCTGAATTTCAGGAAGGCTTTCAGCTTTTCACCTTTGAGTATTACGTTGTCTGTGGGCTTGTTGTAAATGACCTTTATTATGTTGAGATATGCTCCTGCTATACTCAACTTGGTGAGTTTTTATCATGAATGGACATTGACTCATTTGACAAAATTTCCTTCTGCACAAAGATGATTCAACATAAGCAAGTCAGTCAATGTGATATACCATAATAACAAAAGACAAAATCTGCATGAGAGAAAGGTTTAAGCTGTTATGTTTAAAGCTGTTTTATTCCTTTATTGTCATTTAAATGTCTACAGTATATTTCATGACATCTCTTTCACTTGTGATACTAGTAATCTGTATCTTCTGTTTTCTGTTAAACTGCATACTGATCTTCTACAAGAAGCAGGTGTTGATTTCTTGACTGTCTCTATATTCTCTTTTCAATTTCATTGCTTTTTTCCTCTGTCTTCATTATTTGATAGTTTTATTTGCTCTTTTTCAGTTTCTTACGGTGGAAGTTTAGGTTATTGATTTGAGACTTTTCTCATTTTCCAATGTAAGTACTTCATACTTTAACTATCCTTCAAAGCAATGTTTCTGTTGTACCCAACAAGTTCTGATATTTTGTCTTATTTTTACTATGTTTAAAGAAATTCTAATTTCTTTTGTTATTTTGTCTTTGATTTATTAATTCTAAGTGTCTTGCATAATTTTCAAATATCTGGGGATATTCTAGATTATGTTTTGATTTATACATTCACCCCATTGTTGATCAGATAATGTACTCCAAATGATTTCAATTCTTCAAGATTTGTAAAAATTTTCTTATAGCCTAGAATATGGTAATAAGACTGGTCCCTCTTCACTTGAGAAAATATTTTGGTATTATTCAGTGGATCCTTTCTTTCAAGAGTAAAAATCCCTCCTGTGTCTCCTTGCTTTTTGATCATGCTCTAACACCTTAAATATTCTTTTTAAAAAAGATTTTCCCAAGCATTTATCTATCATATCTATGAGACAATTTACATCTCTTACAATTTACACTACCATTTCCTGCAGCCACACTGTCATACTTCTTGTAATACAAGACAACACTTAAGAAAAAGCGTGTTGAATTTTTGATGCTTTCATGGAAAACAGTCTTAACTCATGCAAATACACAGTAGTTTGCAATGTATCAACTGGAATGCCAAGAACCTGCCTGGTGAGAGGTTGGAAACTCTACAATGAGAAGTAGTTTTTATTTGGTTTGACTGATATTAAATCAAATTAGAAACCAACTTAACAGGAGACTCAAGCACATATGACTGTTTTTACTTATAGGTAAAACTATTTACAAAGTTTCTACAGTATTGACAAATTAAGAAGGAAATAAATAGAAATATTACCTTTACACTGAGGAGGCTGACTACTCCATTCATCATTTCCAATACAAGTAAGCTTGCTCTCTCCAATAAGTGAATATTCATCTGGTCCATTTGAAGGATTACAACTATAAGTTACTACTTCATTGTAGTCAAACGTTTCCTTGTCGCTATTGGTGTATTTTCCATTTTGAATTGCTTCAGGTGGTTTACACTTAATCCCTTAAAAAGAAAAAAAAAGAGAACATGAAAGTCTAAAGGGAAGTGTAAAGGATTAAACAGCATTAGTAAGGTCCTGTGAATTGCCTTCAATAAATTCATTACCATATGATTGCTATATACTAGTTGTGAATCCACTATCCATTTAGAAGAAGCTTTTTATGAGAAAATATATTATTGTAAACTCAAGCTATTAATCTACAAATGAATTTCTAGAATAAAACTCATTTTCTTAAAGTCATGAAATACCTACATGAGATACATATATTTACCTGTAAGGCCAAACTAAGTTTTGTTCTCATCATAAGAGATGCTGACAATTTAAAGATATAATATGATCATGATTAAAAACAGGACTCAGTGCTAACTGAGAAATGCTTCATAATTTGTAAATGTATCTGTTTGCTAAGTCAGTTCTTCACATTAATACCAATTATTACTGTCATTTTCACCTTCATCCTTACAAATGTATTGTGAAATTTTCCAGAAGCTATAAATTGTGTGATTTTTCAAGTGACTAAATCCTGATGCTTTCCTTAAAGCCAAACATTGAAGAAATTTGCAAAAATGTAAAACAAAACCATTAGTTAGAATGTTTTTATTTTTTCATTAAATATGTGTTATATACTAATAGGTACACATTTATTCTTCTTGAAAATGATTTAATAATTATTTTATAAAGTCTTCAGGATTAATTCAATAGAATAGAATTGACATAGCATAACTCATAAGATTATATGGATTATGTCTATACACATTGTTATGACAATAGACATACCCATATAAACAAAAGCTCACTGGTGTCTATGTTAATCTGAAAGTATAAAGGAGTCCTGAGGCCAAAAGTTTGAGAATTGCTGCTCTTCATTCTCTGATGACATACTTACTTTCACATGTTGGAGGATTATCACTCCAGTCCACACCCTCTGCAGAAATCTCACAGTAAGAAATACTTGGCCCAGCTAAGTAGTAGCTAAATGAGAAAAGAAAAGTCACTATGTTCTTCAGTAGTCACAGGTGAATACAGTAATGAAAACAATTTTACATGGCTGTTTTTCTGCACTAGAGTAGCCGGAGAGAGAAGTTCCTTAAACAAAGTATAATGGAAATGCTTACTAAATCTGCAGCTTAATCAAATAAAAGTTTCTGCATCTGAATGAATGAATACACACTGGCCCACAGCAAAATGTCTAAATTACTCTCTCATGCTGCCTGGCATCTTTGCCATATCTGACAAATGCATCACACATTCACGTCTACGCTTTTGCTCACACCTTTCTGCTCCATAAGAACTGAACAGAGAGAAGGCCATAGAGCTTGGATTTTGCCCACCCCAGCACCCGCAGGCCACTTATAAGCTGCTCTAGCAGCACATGCACAGATGCCTGCCTGGATTCAAGTTCCAGCCCCAAGATCAACTTGTTACCTGGGCTTGGGAAAGTCCATTAAAGTGCTCTTGTTCAGTGTCCTCATATATGAAAAGCGAGACAATAGTACACACCTCACGAGACTGTTTCAAGGATTGTATGCGTTAGCATCTGGCACAGTGAGTACTAGCTAAGTTTCAGGTCTTATTAAAAGTCTTTAGAGTAGTAATATTCAACATACAGGCATACCTCATTTCACTGCTGTTCACTTTATTGCGTTTTTAACAAACTGAAGCTGTCTGGCAACCCTGCACCGAAAAATCTACTTGTGTTCATGTTTCCAACAGTGTTTGCTCACTTCATGTCTCTGTGTCACATTTCGGTAAATCTCACAGATTTCAAACTTTATTACTATTATTATGTCTGTTATGGTGACCTATGATTTCTGTCTGTCTTGTGACTATGATTCTCTGGGGCTCGGATTATGGTTAACACTTTTTGGTAACATCGTATGCTGAAAGTAAGACATGTACATTTTTTCAGACATGCTATTGTGCAATTAACAGACTATTCTATAGGGTAAACACATGTAAAAAACTCAGTTGATCTGCTTTACTGCAGTGGCCTGGAAGTGAACCTGCGGTCATCTCCAAGGTATGCCTGTATCTTTCTAGTAGTAAAATGGTTTAGGAACACTACTCAAGGAAATCTTCTCTGATCATTTAAATTCATACTACACTCTTCTCCAGGACTCTCATGGTAAATTATCTATTTGGTGCTTTTCATTTACTATTTTGTTTTGACACCTCTCTATATATTGTGTTTCTCAAGAAGGCTACAACTTCCTTGAGTCTCCTGGTACCTAACAGTCTCTTTCTTTCTATTCACTGGATCTCCCACTATTTTACTTGATCAAGTTAAAAAATACCCAGTGTATCTGCCTGTACCCACTTCCAGAGGACTCTTCCCCAAGGGTTAATGCACTGACTCTAGATTATAACACATTAAGTAAAGGACTCTGGGATGATGGGAAAACAGGTGGCAACAGGAATCTGTCTCCCCACCTTAACGACAGATTCACTGATAGAATCTGCCTGACTTCCACTGTTTTGGAAATCTAGAATCTCTTCATGGCTTGCACTTCGGAGGAGAAGACTTGGACAGGTAAGTTAACTTGATTCCGGTCAATCTGAGCTCTTATACGCAGCCTGCGGGAGCTGGGGCGGGCCAAGAGGGGCCTGCCCTCCCCTCCAAAGGGCAGGGATTTATGCTCTTATCCCTGCTGCTTCCAATCCCAGAGGAGCAAAAAAGAGACGGGCAGCCACTGTGTCACACCTCCCCCAGCTTTTTCAAGCCCCTTCAACACTGGCCAAACGAGTTCCAAGAGATTTGAGACCCAGCACCCCTTGCCCCCTCTTTCACTCTTTTCCCTCACTAGCAGAAGTGTGAGTGAGACTGGCTCAGTCGTGTCCGACTCTTTGCGACCCCATGGACTATATACAGTCCATGGGATTCTCCAGGCCCGAATACTGGAGTGGGTAGACTAACTGTGCATGCCCAGAGAAAGGCTCAGAAAAGACCTGAATTGGCACTGAGACACCATACAATAATCAAAAAACAAAATCAAAATAAAAGAGGGGCCGAATCTGATTTTTCAGAGTTACCACACTGTCAGATTTCATATACTGATTCCACAAAAAAGTCACAGGGCATACGAAGAAACAGAAAAAGAATATATGGCTCATGTAATGGAAAGACAAATGAAAAGAACTTTTTTTCTGAAGGAGACCTTATGACAGATCTATTAAACAAAGACTTTAAAAGGTGTGTCTTGTGAAGTCACTCTCTCTGGAAATAGGTGGGTGCCGGTTCTGCCACCCCACTTTTTGTCAACAAAGCAGTCAGAGAGCAGACCTGCAGATGTAGATCTTTGTGAAGACCCTGATGGACAAGACCATCACTCCTGAGGTCAAGCCGGGTGTCACCAGGAAGAAGGTTAAAGTCAAAATCAAAGACACAGGGCATCCTGCCTCACCAACAGAGTTTGACTTTTGCAGAAAAGTAGCTGAGGGGGCCGAGCTTTCTCAGACCATAATATCCAGAAGGAATCCACCCCGTCCTTGGTGCATCACACGTGGGCTGGCATCATCAGACCTTTCCTCGGCAGCTTTCCCGGAAGTACGGCCGTCACAGAACAATCTGCCGCAAGTGCGGCACTCACCCGCGCACCCGCACCCACGCTGTCACCTGCCGCAAGAGGGAGGCCAGACCAACAACCTGGGCCCAAGATCAGTCAACACACCCTTTCCACTGGCTCCGCTCTGCCCCCCAGGGCGGCCCCCTACCGTGGCCCCGTGGACCTGGAGCCTCAGTGAAACTGGGAAGAAGTAACAGTTGTTAAGATGGACAAAGAACTAAAGGAGGAAATGTAGAAAGTCTATAGAGAACAATATGCGAACCCAGTGGAAATATCAATTAGAGACAGAAAACCTAAAAAGAATCCAAAAGTAAATTCTTGAGTTGCAAATTACATTAATGGGAAAGAAAAAGTCACTAGAAGAATTGAAGGCATATTTGAGAGGAAAGATTAGTAGAACTGATATAGGGTAACAGAAATTGCTGACTCTGAGAAAGAAAAAAGATTGAAGAAAAGTGGATAAAGCTTAAGGAATCTGCGGGACACCAATAAAGAGACCAGCATATACACTACAGGACTCCCAGAAAAGGGACAGAGAGAGTTTTTATAGAAATAACAGCTGAGGACTTCCAAAATTCCATAAAAGACAGGAATATAAACATGTCAAAAGCTTAAAATTCTAAGTAAGATGAATACAAACAGACCTGCACAAAGCCATCATAATCAAACTTTCAAAAAACAGAGACAAAGAATACTGAACACTGCAAGAGACAAGAGAAACAGCGTATGTCAAGCATCGTAAATAAAGATTATCAGCAGCTTTGTCATTAGAAATTCAGAGTCCAGAAGAAAGTTACTGATACAATTAAACAACAACAACAAACTCAAGCAAAACCCCCCATCCAGCAAAACTGAGCATCAAAAATGAGGAAAAATTTAAGACATTCCCAGAATCAAAAACTTAAGAAGTATGTGAGTACTATACACTCAAGAAGAAATGTGAAGGGAGTACTGAAAAGGGAATGAAGGGTCTCAAAATCTTATGTATTAAAAAAAAAAAAAACTCAGCAAAGGTAAATAAAAAAGCAATTATAAAAGCTAGCATTACTGAAACAGTGGTTAGCAACCACAAATTTTGCTTTCTATGTGATTTAAAAGGCTAAATTATAAAATAAATAAATAAAGTAGAAGCTAGTATTACAATTATTTGTGTAGACAGCAGTATGATCTCAACAACCAAAAAGGGCAAGTATGGGGCAGTAAAGGACTGATTTTGTAATTTATCGAATTTAAGTTGGTATAAATTCAACCCGGAGTGTTGTAACTATACAATGTTTTTTTGTTTTGCTTTGTTTTGGTCATGCTGTGAATCTTACTGGATTCACGGCTTGGATCTTAGCTCCCCAGTCAGGGATCGAACCTGTGCCCCCTGCAGTGGGGGTGAAGAGTCCGAACCCCTGGACTACCAGGGAATTTCCATGTAACAATACAGCCATAGGATATACATAAAAGGAAATGAGACGGAAATTTAAATATTTCACTACAAAATTCAACTACACAAAAAAGAAGACAGTAATGTAGGAAATGAGGGACTAGGAAAGAAAGCTATAAAGCTTATAGAAAATAGCACAATAATAGAAATAGGTCCCTCCTTGCTCCAACCAAATCCTATCTATAAGAGACTCACTTGACAACAGAAGACATAAATGGAGTGAAAATGAAAGGCTGGAAAAAGATATTAGTAACCAAAACACAGTTGAGTAGCTATACCAAAATCTCACAAAATAGACTTCAAATTTTAAAAAAAGGTTGCAAGAGACAAAGAAGGAAATTTTATATTAACAAGTGTTCAATACTGCAAGAAGATATAACAGTTATAAACATTTATGCACCTAATGAGAAGCCATCAAAACATATGAAGCAAGAAATGACAGAACTGAAGGGGCAAATAAACATTCCTACATAATAAGCATTTCTCCAATATTAGTTGGAGACTATAATACCTCACTCACAATTATGGACAGAACAACTACACAGAAGATAAACAGAGGACCTTACTAAGAAAATAACCTGACCTCTGATATATACAAAGCACTCCAGCCAACAAAAACAGACTATATAGTCTTTCCAACAGCACATGGGATATTTTCCAGTATAGACCATATGCTAGGCTATAAGTAAGGAAACAATGTTATTCAAACATAATCATTTAACAAATAATAGTATGTTTATTTTATGCTACAAATTAATTTTAAGTAATAGATTTTAAAAGGTAGATATTATACAAAGTATATTCTTTGATCACACTAGGAAGAAGTTAAAAATCATTACCAAAAGAAAAACTGAAAAGTCATGAAATTGTGAAAATTAAACAGTATGTTTTAAGTCAACCAATGGTTCAAAGCAGAAATCAGAGTGATTAAAACATACCTTGACAAATGGAAGTTAAAATATAACATATCAAAACTTACGGGATTTAATGCCAAAGGGGAAATTTACACCTATAAATGTTTACATTAAGAAATGATACCTCTGAAAGTTTAAACTAAGTTTACAAGTTAAGGAACCAGAAAAAGAAATAAATCCAAGGCTAGCAGAAGGAAGTAAATAATAAAGATTTATTATGGTTTAGTTGCCATATTAGAACAGAGATAAACAAAGAGCAAAACAATAGAGAAAAATCAAAGAAACCAAAAGTACGTTCTTCAAAAAATGCAAGAGTTGAAAAACCTTTAAACAGACTAAAAGTGATTAGACTCAAATTACTAAGTCAGAAATAAAAGTGGTAACACCACTACTGATTTGACAGAAATAAAAAATACTTTATGAGTACCATGAACAATTTTATGCCACAAATGGAAGCACTAGATAAAACAGACAAACTCCTAGAAACACAAAACCTACCAGGACTCAACCACCCAAACAGATAATCTGAATAAACCTTAACTAGTAAGGAGATGGGAGAAGGAAACGGCAACCCACTCCAGGATTCTTGCCTGGAGAATTCCGTGGACAGAGGAGCCTGGTGGGCTGCTGTCCATAGGGTCGCACAGAGTCAGACACGAATGAAGCGACTGAACATGCATGCGTGCATTGGGGAAGGAAATGGCAACCCACTCCAGTGTTCTTGCCTGGAGAACCCCAGGGACAGAGGAGCCTGGTGGGCTGCCGTCTATGGGGTCGCACAGAGTCAGACACGACGGAAGCGACACAGCAGCAGCAGCAGTAAGAAGGCAGACTCAGTAACCAAAAATCTCTCAATTAAAAAACAATTCTGGATCTAATGGTTTCACTGGTGAATCTACCAAACATTTAAAGAAGTAACACCAATCTTTCCCAAACTTTTCCAAAAAGCTAAAGAGAAGGGAAGTCTGAGCTCATTCTATGAGATGAACATTACCATGATAGCAAAATTTGACAAAGACACAATGAAAGTTAGATCAACAGCCTTTAAAAACACCGATGCAAACAACCTCAACACAATACTAGTAAACAACTCAACAGCATCTTAAAAGGATTAAACATCATGAGCAAGTGAGTTATCCCGAGAATGCAAGGGATGGCTCAACACATTAAAAAATCAATCATTGTAATAAGCTGTATCAAAAGAATGACAGAGAAAAAAAATCACATGATTACCTCAACTGAGGCAGAAAAAAAACTTGACAAAATTTGATCAGAACAGGCATGGACAACTAGTTTTACCACTTTTATTCAACATGGTACTGGAAGTTCCAGCTAGAGCAATTAAGCAAGGAAAAAATATATATATGTATGTATATATTTCTACTACATAGAAAACCCTAAAGATTACGCATGCACACACATAAACACAAATACAAATGTGGGACCTAATAAACTCAGTAAAGTACCAGGATACATAGACAATAATAAAAAACCAGTTGCATTTCCAGAGATATCACATTTATCCTTTAAATTCACATTTTTAAAAAAATACTCAGTATCCTTAATATATACTATTAAGAGAGCCCTGTAGAACAAAGGCTGTTATTAAATACTCAGTACCTCTTTGAGATGCTTCACTCCTTTGTAGCAGTTTCAACAATAACTTTTCCAACTAAAAGATTCTAATGAAGATTACTGTCTAAGCTAGCCAGGTCAACTTTGGTCTAGTAACATCTTATAGATTACTTAGATGTAAGAACAACTATAGTTGGCTAATCCACTTCCCAGTTCTATAAACCCTACTTCAAATCTCAGAATTGGACATTTTACTGACAAATAGAGTGCACTGTATTGTCAAGCAGTCACCATGATTTTCCAATGTTTATGATAGATTTATTCATACATATACTAAATTTTATACCATTTCACTCTCCTTCAATTTAAATTTCTATTAGTTACTCATCTTTTCAATCTTCATAAAAAGCCCAGGGTTATTTGACTACCGTATGACTTACATATAAAGCAAAATGAAATCAACTTTATGGCAACGCTTAAGAAAAGAGGCAAAATGAAAATGGACTTAGTCACACATAACCTTATTTTCTCTAAGGAACAGCCTACTTACCCCTTATTACAAACAAAGTGAGCCTGGGAACCAAACTCAGTACTTTCATTTACAAAGGTAACTTGGCCATTTATGAGATCACCTAGGGTAGGACACCGTCTTCCTAAAAGCAAAAGATCAAACTTGTTTTACACCCATTTCAAAAGAGATCTGAATCAAATTCAAAATTCTATATGGCTTGTTTGAACTCATGGGAATATTATTACTTTTATTATTATTTTCTTGTTTTAACTATTATAATGCCACATAAGATTCATAATTACCCAGGCAACCAATTGTGACGAAAACGATTCCCTGGAGATTTTTCAAAGCCTGAATGCATGGCTATCTAAAAACCTACATTCACATGAGAAAACGATCATTTCAGTAGTAAAATACTCTAAAATGTGTGAAAATCTCTACAGCAATAAAAAGTTTTCTGAATTAAAAAAAAAATTTGTTTACTTACTTTTACAGGCCTCCTGGAGAGACGACCATGTAGTATCATTCTGACAAATAACAGAGAGGACCTGACCAGGAGTTATTGGCTGGAAACCCAGACGACACTCATACAGTACTTCATCCCCAGGTTTATAACTGGATCCAAAGGCACCCTTGGGCTTCATAGTGACAAACTGTGGTGGGTCACCACAGGCATCTAGGAATAGAGAGAATAAGAGCATAAAAATAAATCATTTTATCTTATTCACCAGACAGGGACTGTGGCCTGGCAACAGATAGGTAGTACAGAACAAACGGAAAAGTTCTTAGCAGGATTTTATATGTGCTTTGCTTACTTTAAATAACAACCTCTGAGCTTCTGGCCTGTTGGAAAATAAGATGAATTTTAATTCAGCAGGAAATGGAAGAGACAGCATCAATGTGCTTGGTTCTGAAATGTAAATGTGTTTATAGGTCCATATCCTTCTCCGCTTCTTTTTAAACTCATCATTTCAAAACTCACCTCTCTTCTAAGAAGTCTCCTATAGCACTATGCTCAGATTATTCTTCTAGAGTTTGAAACACAAACATATTAGGCTGTTTTCTCTAAGAAGACAAGGGTCCAGAGGGCAGGAATCATATGTCTTCTTTTTCTACTAAACTGTATACTCAGTTGTAACTTAAGACATGCTGTGATAAGAGGTAAATATAAAATACACATTGAGGGATTAATAAATCAAAATAAACAGGGACCAAAGTATTTCAAAATACTTCATTTGTTTTCTATTAGTGAATTGAACATTTTTTAAGTGATATATATATAGACACCGTGTAAATATCAAAATATAATATTTGGATAGTATTACATGAAAAAAACTTGCTTTCCTGGATATTAAATATAATTTCATTTTCCTTCACAGATCAATTCCTCAGAAGCTCCCTAAGGTAGCTGGGTTGTTCATCCAACATATCCTGACATAAAGCTACTATCCTAATACGCTTTTAGAGTTTTTTACTTCTGGGGTTTTTGCGGGGAATGTTGAGGGAAAATTTTTTCTCCCTAGAATAATGTCATTTCTATTCAGCAAGTCCTCTTCCTTTTAAGTACCTGAGCACCTGAGAACCTAACAGACCTGTTAGAAAACTTATATAAAATAATATGATGGAGACACATCAAGTCCTAAAGGGCTAAAAGAATGCAAAGGTCTCGCTTAAAAGGAAAACAGAAACAGACCTATTTTGATCCCTGAGGAACATTTACTTACTTACTCCCTGGATCTAGGTCTTAACTTCAGACTGAGAGAACTCTAAACAAGTGAAATATCACCCTTCTTTCCCATCACATTCTAGATTCTAAACTTCTCAATACTCGTCCAACATTTCACTTATAACATGTCTTATATCATGTCAAGTTAATTGTTTCAACATTTATCAAATGTTTTCAACATTTCTACTTTGCTGATCATAATACATGAATTTTACTCAAGTAACTGCCCATAACAAACCAAAATCAAAGTCACAGGTATTAACATAAAATTTACTGAATACTCTGAGGCACACATTCTATTTTTAATAACAGAAAAGAATATGGGCTAGAAATGTTACATAATTCTGTTTTAGATAAAAAACACACATCATCATTCAAGAATATCCTGGAAGCACCAAGAAAGAACTCAAGTGACCATGCATATGATTAAATTATATATGTGTTCTTTGCTTTATACATTCAATTTCAGTAACTATCTTGAAAGCATAAAAAGAAGGGAGAAATTTCTGATATGACTCTCACATACAGTGCTGTGTATGAAAAAACATTTGTCAATTGGTTTTTTTTAATCCATTCAACTAACTTCAAGTATCTCTTCCCAATAACATGTATCATGAAAACAATGCTTTCAACAACACACAGTTTAGAACGTCTGCTTTCGCAATCAGTGGATTATAAGCTTCACACACTATAATGACTGAGTCCAATATCATATTTGTTTTATAATCAGATTTCCTCTCTTTCTCAGAATACTGAATTCTTTTTCCTATAAGGATTTACAAACACTGCCAGCATCAAAAAAAATAGTATCTTGACTCAGTTTTTCCTAGAGAATTTACAATATGAACATTACCAGGCTGCAATGCTATACTTAGACTGATGAGTTACAGTTCAAAAGAGCTGGACAACGCTGCGTACCAGACACAATGCTATACTTTAACAGGTGCCATTATATAATTCGACAGGCTGCATTCAGAAAATGCTCCAGTTTTCCAGATGAGTTTCAGAAAGGTGAAATCAGTCTCTACTATGGATCAAGAGAACTGCCCACCTCCATACTCTTACAAAAGTTGTGCAAGCACTCCCTACTTGCTTGCCAAAGTCATAAAAGTAACTGTCTGAGTCAAGCATAGGCCCACATCTGTGCCCAGGTGGTACCTTTGGATAATCACGGTCTCTAATCAAAACTAGAACTTCAGTGAAACCTGAAGACTCTTTGCCTTTTCTGTCTACACAACCTATTTTTAACGTTCCTTTGCTTCCTCAAAAAGGAGGCTTTAACATCTATACCTATCCATTTTATTTCTCACATTCTACTCATTTCTAGACCTTAAAAAAAAAAAAAAAAAAAAAC